ATTCAGTCGGGTTTAATTACAATTAGCGAGAACGATTCCCGGTTTTGCATTGTTAGTTCAGCTCTCAGACTTAAGTATTAGGTTGGTCTCACATTTTAAGGCTAAACAACTCTACCAAGTTATTTACAGATATTTATATTCATATTTAATTATACATTTATATTAATAAAAATTCACAAACAGTATATAAATTAATTTTAAATGATGGTTTAGTAAAAACTAACAATACTAGTTAATATAGGATACTATGAATTACAATCTTATAATTATTATAAAAAATTTTAAAAATTAAATGTAAAACTGGTGGCAAAAGAAATGAAAGAGGGAATGGAAAAAATTAGTTGAATTATATATCATTTATTTGTAAAATAGGTTTAATATTTGGTTTTGTAAGGAAGTAATTGGCGATAAGGGGAGGGGAGAGGGGAAAGGGAAGGGTGGGGGTGGGGTGGTCCAAAATGATCTTATAACCCATGTACAATATAATATTTTCAAAAAATAAATTGTAATTCAATTTCCCTATAAAATATGTTATCCACTATTTGCTCACTATTTATTCAAATATTTTATCAAAATGTCTACTAATGACTATATACCGAGTTGGTCACACAGTGTGACATAATATTAATTAAAATCTAAATCCATCAAAAATTTATTATCTAATATACATTCTCGATTAATATCATTGACAACTACCAAGGTCTATTGTGGCTTAACTCCATGTCCAAATATCCAGGAGTTGAAGAGCACAGCGCGTGGGTCGTCGCGAACCACGTGTATAATAGTGAGGTCACGGAAACCGGACCTTTCGATATCAACCCATGATTTGCGAGTCAATTGACATCCGTTGCCAATCACTCGCTGCATGCCATTCATTGAGCGTTGGAAATATTGCAGTACTAAGTGCTTAACACTATCATCAGGGTACAAACAGTGTTCGCTAAAGTATATGTGTCCACCCTAGAATTACAATTTAAAAATTTAGTAATAAAATATATTTTAAAACTGAGAAAACCAATAAAGTTAACATGGTGATTCTTGGCTTTTAAAATCTCTCTCTCTCTCTCGCTCGCTCTCTTGAAATGTTCTCTTTATTTCATAAAGTGTGAATCAGTGAGAGAGAGAGAGAGAGAGAGAGAGAGAAACTTTATACCGGTTTCAAGACTCTCATGACTTCCTTCAGTGCTTTCGTCGGACTATTGGCCGAACATAAGACCGAACACCAAATGACGGCATCCATAGAGTTGTCGCCGATGTGGTACATATCCTCCACATCTCCGACGATATAGTCCATGAACTCAAGGGTCGGGTATTTGGAAATATTTTGTCGGAAATATGGTTCCAAAAGTCTGTTACAATTTAAAGCATAGCATTGACAATTATCCGGGTAATTTGCAAATAATCTCCCAACGCCACCTCCGATTTCTAGCAATTTCTATGCAAAAAATTATTTTATTTTTTATAAATTACATATTGAACAATTTAAATTCTATTAATTATAAATTACAAATAGTATATGTAATAATCAAGATTTTAACAAGTTAATACTAAATCACTGTCTCCTTCCCAATTACCTATTACAATTCATATTATTATTAAGTTAATATAATAAAGAATATATTAATATCTGTTTGAAATGTACAAAACGTACAAGTTTTGATGAATTGTTAACTGGTCTCATAGTTTTTAATCCATCGTAATAGTCCATGGTGAAATCTAGACCGTCTTCCATTGATAAAACACCCTTGATGAAACTTTGTTCCCTTTGTTTGCGAGTCAAAATTATTGTCCGGATCCAAAGTGTAACATGTCGCATGGTGGCTACAATGATATTTAGAATAAAAACAAAATTATCCACTATCATGTTTGTTTTATTTAACTGGTATTATTTTGGCTTATTTTATTAAAAATTTAATTTTAGTATTATCAGTAATAATTTAATTTGTGAATCTTTTTATCAAATATTGTTTTATTTTAAACAATTATTAGTAGCTAATACTGTTTTGTACATTTACTAACATTCTGCAAATACTGTACAATAACTGCTTATAGTTGTTACCAGAATCATATAAGTCTTACAAATTTCAATTATCATTATTCATAAAAAACTCATTTTATTTGTTTGTTAAAACAACAATAAAATCCATAATATTATATATTCAAACTGGGTGGTCAACTGCGCAAACAAATTGTTAATCAACCATAACTTTTAATACTTTTAATGAACAGTAATTAATGATTAAAAAGCTTATAGAAACCTAACGCTATTGGAAATACTGTACTCTTTAAAAAACTATACAGTACTACCACCATATGCTAAATAAAAATAAGCTTTTGAGTTATAAATATAATTTTGAAGTACTTGTGAAATAAAAATTTTTATGAAATAAATTGCATTTTTATTTTAACAATAGTTTTTAACCAATAAGTTATTGAGTACTATTTCTCACACAATGTATGTGCTCTGTATTACTGGACGTATCATAGATTTTGTGTAACATATTTGAATCATTAATAATCCATTCATTTCGGCTATCATTGCAATCAAAATAATCTTTGAGAACATGAAACGTATTGTTGGGATGGGATGTGAAGAACCCTTTGAATGCCTTCTCATCCAAAATACTCCACGTTTTGGTAAATTTAATTCCTTGTGATCTCTCCTCAAACGTTGGACCCTTATTAGCATACATTAGGACGGGTCGTCCCAAACGACTGAGCGATTGGATTTGAATGCCTTCTCATCCAAAATACTCCACGTTTTGGTAAATTTAATTCCTTGTGATCTCTCCTCAAACGTCGGACCCTTATTAGCATACATTAGGACGGGTCGTCCCAAACGACTGAGCGATTGGCCATCAAATGAGGAACTATTCAGATATGCATTGTCCACAAAACCCAGGATTAATGTATCGGTTGTGGGACTGAATGTTAACATGTTTTCTGGTATACGAGTAATACTGGTCTTTCTTAACGTTAAATATCGCAATGAATTCAATCCATAGAAAGCCTTTTCACTAATAGTTATCAAATGGTTGTCCGAAATGTAAATATTGTTTAATTTATGTAATCCATTGAAGGCATTGCTCGGGATTTGTTGTAATTTTACGTCAATTAAAGATATTCTTTGAATGTTTGCTATATTTCTAATTGCGGCGAATATATCAGAGCCAGTGTCAGGACTATGATCCAGGTTAGGTATGTCTTGAATTAGCAAACCCTCCAAACTAGTCAATCCCTGAAAGGCGTTCACATCAATCACTTTCAATGAATAATCGTAAATAATTACAAGACTTTTGAAAGTAATGTTAAGTAATGAGAAAGTGTTGGCATTTATTCGCGAAATGTTTGTCCTCTTTATAGATAGCATATCAAAGGTTTTTTGATTATTGTGTAGATCGTTGCTCAAATTAGCAAATATTGGAGCAAGGTCAGTGATGGTGCTGCTATTACACTCCAATACTGCGCTATTTTTTACCCAGCTCCAACAAAAGCACGGCTCCAGTAGTTTAGGTTCCGGGCATTTATATGTCTCTTGACATACGCCTAATGTAATGGTCAATACAATTACACATATTATTTGTACAAACATTTTCAATGGTAACTTTTTTACTAGTAATACTTTAAAGACATATTTAAATTTTATTTTAGAAATTTTATTCAGTAATTTAAAATAATAATGTGCCTTGTTTATTTAGCAGTTTTCAAAAAAATTTAATTCAATGAAAATAAAATTTATTTCAAAAACAGTTGTTTAAATAATAAATAGTCTAGTTCAATCGTACTGTATTGTACTATTGTATTAGTAATACAGTATTACCGTTGTATATGTATATTGAAATGATTTCTATTATCTCAAAAGAAAATATAAAAATAATTTTACTTTGAGTAAAACAATTTTTAAAAAGTATTATAGCAATCGTTATTAATAGTGAATCTTGGGATTTAGCCTATTATTTATTTATTTAATATTAATGTTAAGATATTATTTAAACTTCTTGCACCAATAAACAATAGGATCATTTATAAATGTACTCATATTTTTAATTTCATTTTATATATTTTATTATTAGTCACTAAAAGGTTTGGTTTGAATGGTTATTTATGGATTGTACAATTAATGGACTCTAAATTACTGGACTCATCAGAAATTCTGTTCATTATATTTGAATCCTTTACAAACCATTGATTACGGCTATCATTGCAATCAATATACTCGCTATCGATATGCAGTGTATTGTTGGGATGGGATGCGAAATATCCTTTGAATGCCTTCTCCGATAAATAACTCCATTTGCTTGCAGTTGTAAATGTTGTAAATGTGGTCCCATTTTGTCCCTCTATTCTCATGACAGACATCCGTACGGGTCGTCCCAAATGA